GCTAAAAAGCAGCAATACAAATGAGAAGATCTCTGAGTCAGTCCTGAAGGACTGCTCACTGTTAGGTTATTTGTCGAAGCTGTTATTAACAAGCCCAAATACAAAGGATTATTGTCGTTTGTAAAATAAGTGAAAATGAGCATTCCCGCCTACAGAAATATGAAGCTGTAAAGTTTTATCATTAGGAAGGAAAAGAGAAATGGTGTTGAATTATAGACAAAAAATAAGAGAAACCACAATAGAAAATCTATAAACTGGAAACTGACAGCTATGGGCAAAACATATTATTTATTTCAGGTACTTATATAGCACCGTCAATTTTATGCAGCGCTTTACATATATATTGTACATTCACATCAGTCCCTAACCCTCAAAGGGTGTACAATATAAGGTCCCTAACTCACATCCATACATACACATATTAGGGCCAATTTAGACAGAAGCCAATTAACCTATCAGCATGTTTTTGGAGAGTGGGAGGAAACCGGAGTACCTGGAGGAAACCCACGCAGGCACAGGGAGATCATGCAAACTCCAGGCAGGTGGTGCCATGGTTGGGATTTGAACCAGCAACCCTAGTACTGGGAGGCGGAAGGGCTAACCATTTAGTCACTGTGCTGCCCCATATTCTCTGTGATCTGCTTGCCCTCCCTGATGAATGGGTGCATTTACCCCAACAACACATTGGACTTGTTTTAACTATTAGGTCTCTTCACATAGGCCAGCTGAGCCCACGTGCTAAGTCCATTCAGCGTAACTGTATATGGTGGTGCGATCGTAAACGCAGCTTGCAGGTGTATGCACAAAAAAGAAAACTCTCTTGTTTTTACATATGCCATTATGCTGTACTTGTGTTTACAATAGCACCACTGTAGCTGCTGACTTTTTTAAAAAAGGATACGTACCTGTCCAAGGATCCAATGCTGTCCTCACACTCGGCCCGGTTCTTTGCTGGTCTTCAGGTCCTTGGTGTTGGCATTTTTACTCTGGGAGGAAAGCTGGCTGTGACTCCTTGCGGCTTTACAGTGGGCTTCCCACTGCTCATGTGCGAATCGCCCTGCACTTTGTGAATGGACCCACAGACGTCTGGGACCTGTGACATATCTCAGAAAGTTTCGGAGGGCGACTTCCACTGTGATTGCCTAGGCATTTGCTGCGAAAGTGGGAGTGGTACCTGCTAAAACTAGGCACCCAAAAGTGGGAGAGTGGAAGAGGAGGGGGGGGAGGAAGTATTAAAGGTGAAGTTCTAAAGAACAGACAAGGGCGCACTCTCATCATGCATTACCGTGGTATAACACGTACAGTATTTATTGAATAAAAAGAGGATATATACTCACAAACCAACGTGATAAAATGCAGTAAAAGTAGTCCACAAAGACAGTCACAATGCATCTGTGTCTAATGATGCAGATAGGCTAACGTGTTTCGGGAGCTAGCTCTCAGGAAGGGGGTTCAGCTCCCGAAACGCGTTAGCCTATCTGCATCATTAGACACAGATGCATTGTGACTGTCTTTGTGGACTACTTTTACTGCCTTTTATCACGTTGGTTTGTGAGTATATATCCTCTTTTTATTCAATAAATACGTGTTATACCACGGTAATGCACGATGAGAGTGCGTCCTTTTTCTGTTCTTTTCCACTAGTGGTCAGATTTCCCGATCTTAAAAGGGCAACACCTCTTCGGTTGGCATTTTGGCATCGCCTTGGTTGTTTGAAGACTGGAGCCCTGGTTTCGTTCGTTCATCTTTTAAAGGTGAAGTTCTGCTTTAAGCCCCAGTAAATCTTGAAAGATTGTTGTGTGTAGTTTTTGTGAGCACTGATATCTTGGTACACGTAAAAATAGTGAATTACAGCTAAAACAATATAATAATAAGACTTTATAAAATAAGAAGCCCAGTGGCAAAGGGAGAATACATAATAGTTTACAATCCCTACATGCTGTTGCTTTGTCATCACATTAGTTACGTGTTGATCGTAATATATAATTCATACAAGAGAAACATTTAGTAACATTATATAATTACATTTTATTAACCTTCCATTGGAAATGTTATGATATACATTATTCAGTAATCTCAAAATTGGTATTCATATAATGCAGCAGCTAGACATTTTGTTGGTTTTGAGTACGGTCACAGTTATGAATGTGTAACAGTTCAGGTTAACAACAAAACATGGTTCTCCTACACTACAAGGAACAGTATTTTTCCATTGGTAATAGTTTTCTAGTCATCATTCTGTCCTTCCAGGGACTGAATTCTTTAACATTTAGTTTAACAGCATATTTGGACCAACTGTTTCATTTTTCAGGCTTGCCAGTGAACCTGTATTGGAAATCAGAAAAACAAAAATCCCCCTTATTTGTATACCTGCAGTTACAGTGTGGGGAATGCCTTGACCACAGCTGATTGGGCCAACATTGACAGCTTCCTTCCAGGTTCAGATGAACATGGGTTTTGACCAAACCCAATCTCATCCCTACCGGAGATACAACGGAAAGGGTTAGGAAATCCCTTTCAAAATTAAGGAAGTCAGTTGCACTGAAAAAAGTGTCCCCAGTGAAAGATATTCCCTCATCTCTTGTTCTAGTGACAGCTGTAAAATTTGGATTTCCTATCAGATATGTCCAGCGATATGCATGAGAGCCGAGGCTCTCTCAGCTTTCTTTCTCCTCATTGACTCAAACACAGTAGTAGGAGCCATTGACAGCACACATCTAGTGAGGAGAGAGCAGGGGGGTGGGACTGAGCCACAATATCTGTGTCTTATGGACTAACAGAGCTGACTGGAGAGCAAGCACACATGAGTGCCCCCAGCGCAAGCAGCTTGCTATGGAGGCACTCAGTGGGTGGAGGGGCCAGGAGCGCAGGTGGAGGACTTGAGAAGAGGTGGATCTGTGCTGCTCTGTGCAAAACCATTGTACAGAGTAGGTAAGTATGACATGTTTGTTAGTTTAAATAAATAAAAAGTGAGACTTTAGAATCACTGTAAACACAAACTAGTGTATGCTTATAACTGGCTCACTAATTAAGACCAGATATTTCAGAAATTAATTACTGGGTAGATTGTGAATTCAAGAAACAACTAATTTGTTATGCTCTCTGCAGTTATTTTATCATTGTAAAGCCTGTATCCTGTGACATTGCTTAATGACATTTCAGCAAAAAATAAAAAATGAAAAGGCTGTACAGAAGGGCATTTTGAAAACTGCCAAACTGCAAGTTTTTGATGCAAATATATTCAAGCATTTATATGAATCTGTATGTAATAGTTTGTGCCAAAGCTAAATTATATAGAATGCATGTGCTACAATTATGTGTGTTAGTCAAGTTGATTTTCATACCAATTAAATCAGACTTTGAAAACGTGGTTCAAAAAAAGCATTTCAAGTATATCATTGAGTCACTGATAGAAAGCAATGTTTAATTGCTCTACTGCGTGTACCTACTGTAGGTAGTGTACGTATATATGTAATGGACTTAACTAAGAGGTAGAATTTTTTTTATATAAAAATGCCTTGAAACTTGAGTAAATGAAAACCTCAACTGAAAAATACCCAATTTGCTAAAGCATTGTCTATCGTAAACTATTGTATTTTTGTAGAAAGAAAAAAATGTTTCCACCTTTTTCAAATTTTTATAAAACGGACATACGCACATGAATCTCAGATACTCATCTCTTTGGCTTCAATCAAAGGCTGTGGCATGTTATAGATCAGGATGTATTTCTTAAATATACTAGTCTTCTTATATTTTGCCTCCCTGGTTCCTTCCTCTTTATTAGCATATTCTTTTTTAGCATGTGAAATTTTAGTTCATCCTTAGTTTATTAAAAAGAAGCTTTGGCCGTACTTATCTTGTGGATCACAGAAGTGCACTTAGTTCTGCACTCTTGTGATCCAGATCCAGCTGACAGGGGACTGAAGTCCACTGACAGTTGACATCACAGAGCTGTCCAGGCTCTGGAAGGATCCTGACAATAATGTTGTGATCCTCCCAGATGCCTGCCTGGCAGCTGGTTCAGCATCTCAGCACACCACTGAGAGCCTGAACCAGCTGCTTCCATCCCCTCCACAGCCCAGCGCTCCAGTGAGAGCTGAAGGGGCAGAGTACAGCAGGGTGGTGACTGTCAGAGTGGACCTGAGACCTGAGCGATTAGTGGTTTTTGTTCACTCAGTTCTGCGTGTACAGCCGACTGGGGACAGCTGCAGCATTGGATCGATGCTGCAACCATCTAGGTTTGTTTGTTTTTTTTACCATATATACCATAGTAATTTTACCATTTTGCTGTTTGCATGGAGCTTAGATTTAAAACGGACCTTGCATGAAAATGCAAAGCCTGCTTGGCTGCCCCACCCAATAAACCTCCCCCCCAAAACATTAGAAGAAAAAAAAGCAAATACATACTGCAGACCCCAGCTTTTGGTCACTTCCTCTTGGCGCCATTGATGTCTCACTGCTACCTGCTAAATTCTCCAGTCTCATGAGAATGTGCACTGTGAGCTCTGTAAAGGAGCCGATTCTAGCCGAATTTCAAGTATTCAGCTGTTCCAAGAGACAGCAGTGAGGCTCAGTGATGTCACCGACACCTACAAGAAGCATCCAGAAGCCAGGGTCTGAGATATGTTGTCCTTTTTTAATGGTTTGGGCTTTTTTAGCTTTAAATTAGTACTTTTTGGGGAGAGGGGCTCACAGGCAAGCAGACCTGACTTTTTTTTTTTTTATAGAAGGTCCACTTCAAAGTAATACAGAAGGTACAAATTATCCATAAATAAATATTTCATTTTGATTAGCAATGTTTCATTTTCAAACTTTACTGCTGGTGTTTAATGATATGTTTTTCTAGCATTATTAAAGGATAATAGAGTATATAATTATAGAAACGGAACATGATCACAGAACACATGACAAATAAACATAACGTTCTGTTAGAATGTAATTAAATTATAGTTTTTTAACAGTGCTTCTTTGGCTTAAACATGTTTATTCTTGTGTTTTAGTGGAGAACAGATACATGATGAAGGATCTGGCAACTAACTGGGCACAACCAAGTGACTCATATGGAAGGTTCAGCTCTCTCTTTAATGTGAAAGGTATTAATTAGCTTTCTTTATCCTGCTCTGTTTATTTTCTCTTCTTCTTAGTAGTAGTATACTAAGTTTATAGAAAGAGAACTGTCTTATACTTTAATACCTGACAGCTGTGGCGTTATTGGTCATTTAGTACACATTATATGTAATTCCTATTTTCACAAAAGTTTTACATAATAGAACCAAATTATACAAAATTACAATTTTAAGAGCCAGTTAGAAAGAGAGAGAGAGATGGGGAGAGAAAACTCTACAGAAATACAAAGGATAAATCAAAATGTATAGCAAGCATATGAAATGAATGAGTACATTCTATTGACGGCTTCCTATTGTTAAAAGCATAAGCAGAATAAAGTAAAGTAAAGTAAAAGTAAAGTACATAAAATAATATAACAGGAATTCATGGGTTTGAAATACGATACATAAAGCATGGGGACAGATTAAGAGGTTCACTTGTTCAAACATTAGAAAACTGAAGACATATGATCTAAGCTACTTTGACAAGTGGAATTGTTGTAAGGAACAGGTGTGATGGAGCATCTGAAAAACTATTCATTCCCTTAGATTTTCATGTTCTACAGTCTCTAGATTTGCTTAAATAGCTGTACATAGAAGTTCTGTGGACAACCCACCAAATTAATTAAATAAGGTCAGAGAAGAATGGCTATAAACCTAGTGCTCATGACCATTGTAATAGCAATGCCTGTATGGCAAAATGGGAATTTACATAATCTGCCTTTTGATTATATCAATTTCTCTATTTCTAAAGATGTTTACACTTAAAGTGGTTGTAAACCCTTACATTTATCAGTGAAGTGACTGGCCACAGGTGACACACAGAGAGGAAATAAAACATCTTACATAGGTTGTACCTGTCTATCTGCAGTCTTCTCTTCTCTACATCTGTTCAAACTGCTGAATTTATACAGCTTGTCTGAGAGTTCAGAAAAAAGGGGGCAGGGAGCTGAAATTACACTCTGCAGAGGTCAGTGAGAAGAGTTCTGAGAGCTGATTGATGGGAAGATACACAGCCAATCAACACAGCTCACATGAACAGAGTTGAGGCTGTCAATCTGATGGAGGTCCCTCCTCTATCACCATTTTGCTTTTGGTGCTGGGAAACTGGCCAAAAGGGTTTCGTGCAGATAGCAGAGGAAGGAGGCAGCAGACAGACACTTACTGCTCTTAATTGAGACAAGTACACATAATAGAGGGATATGCTTTGTTCATATTTAATGTCTGAGATTTACAATAACTTTAAATGTAGGTCATATGTTTATTAGCTATACAGTAAAGATTATTATTTTTATGATTATTATTATTTTTGATGCACATACTTACCTTGCTTTATACTCTGTAGCTGGTGGACGACCATCCTTTCAGCCCTCTTCTGTACACACATTAGCTGACAGCTCTGCTTCAAGCTTGAACAGCCTCTATGGAGCCAAAGGTATAAAATACATTCACTATGCTTCTGAAGTAATTTTGTACATTTAGCAAACATAATGGAGAGCTAGATGCTACTTTCATATATAAGACATCCACTACTACAGGTGCACTACATATGGTTAGAAGTGCACATATCATATGTATTAAAACAATTCCCACCAAGAGTCTATGAATAGGCACAAAATACCATAATATACTGTATATTTAAATACTACATCTGATATAATTTTCATATGATATTATTCTATTGTTATTCCTGTTTCAAGTTTTCTCACATACTGTATCTATGCAGACATTTCTTTGTTCATTTGGTTTGGCTAGATGGATATCCATGCAGCCAATCATTTGTTTGCAAAAACAAAATATGATTTGGCATATTTAGAAGTTTTTATTGGCTTACCAAGTGACATAGAAGTTTGGAAATGTTAATACCACAAGTATAAGAATTTATAATCACTATTACCTTCACACCCTATAGTCTTTCCACTGACACACACTAGTCAGATTTTACCAAATGATACCTAAAAGCTAGGTGTAGACCTTAATCTAATGCATATTAAATGTCTTTGTGAGCATTTAGGGATGGTCATACTTAAGTCACCTGTATAGTACAGTCCTGATTAAAGCTTCTCCAGATTCTTGACAGAGCCATAACACATAATAAGAAAGTGAGGTGTGAACACTTGATGAAGTTCTCAGACTCCCTGGAAGAGCTCATTTGAATTTATCTCAGTCAGACCAAAGTCATATCTCGTCCACAGAGGAGACAGTGATTGGAATTTAATAAGGAGATTGGGTATGAGCCCATAATCACAAAGTTGGAGAATTAAAGGTCTGAAAAAATATATCAGTCATTATAAAAGTGGTGGTCAAATATTTTGTTAAGAATAGGTATACAGTTACAATTGGCTCAAAAGAGTTTGAAGTTCAATTTAATTTTTACCAAAAGTATTGGCAATCTAATGCATTGTTATTTATTTATTACAGGTACTTATATAGCGCCATCAATTTACGCAGCGCTTTTACATATATATATTGTACATTCACATCAGTCCTTAACCCTCAAGGGATGTACAACCTAAGGTCCCGAACTCACATTCATACATATACATACTTTAGACAGGAGCCAATTCACCTACTAGCATGTCCTTGGAGTGTGGGAGGAACCTGGAAGAAACCCACCCAGTCACAAGGAGAACATGCAAACTCCAGGCAGGTGGTGCTGTGGTTGGGGTTTGAACCAACGACCCTAGTTCTGCCAGGAGGAAGTGCTAACCATTTAGCCACTGTGTTGCCCACAATGTTTACCGTTTAACATTTAACGTTTTCACGAGCATGCTGTTAGTGCCGTGGAGAAAAAATATTTAAATACCTTGCAAACTGCAAAATATACATTATTAGTTTAATATAACTGTGAAAGCAGTATACTCAAAATATAAAAAATTTCAGAAAGAAAGTAACCTAAATATTCGTAGTTGTTTTTCACTGACAAATATATGTCTACTAACCTAACATTGCTGATAAGCACCATATTACAGCTGTACACAGTTCCCTGATTTGCACTTTAAATGTGTTATGATTGCATGCTTTCTGTTAATAGCCGCATGATTTTCCCAGGTAATATGTTCGCTTGCTGTATGCTCTAACCCAGTGGCCCTCATTCAATAAGTCTATGCATGTATTAGATGCAGTTACAGTAGCCCCTGGATCTGAATAGATTTGCATCTTGATCTCAGGTTAGCTTTGCCCCAGAGCCATAGTAAGCATGAAGCGTATTTACTAAAGTAAAAGGTAAGGTGAACTGCAATTAACCTGTGTTTACATCACATATCCAATCATGTGAAAGTAAAATTAAAGAAATAGGAACTCCTCCTGTGCATTATTGTATGTTTAAAAAGAACACATTATGTGATCCTTTCTTTTTCCCATGAAAGGCAAAGTAAAAGGATAACTTAACGTCCCCCCTTCCTTCCTCAGTGGCATACATTCAACTTTCCTGGCTCTCCACCTCTCCAGTTGGCTGTCTGGAGGAAAACATCAATGTGTAAGCTCCAAACTGACTAATCAGAGCACACACCGTGCCTCCCCAGGTCCATGTGACAGTGTTGGGCCTATCGCCAAGCAGCTAGCTCTGTCACATGAAAGGTGAAGGAGTAAGTCACCTGGAAGTGACTGGAAGAGACGCTTCACTCTTGGTGATCAAAGAAAGACACATGGGGGTTTATTTACTAAAGCTGGAGAGTCCAAAATAAGACTCCCTTCTGCATAGAAACCAATCAGCTTCCAGGTTTCATTGCCAAAGCTTCATTGAACAAGCTGAGGTTAGAAGCTGATTGGTTTCTATGCAGAAGGGAGTCTGATTTTGGACTCTCCAGCTTTAGTAAATAAATCCCATGGGGTCAAGGAATGATGCATATATGCTGTTAGAGGTGGTGGTGGGGTTGGAGGCTTGATGTGGCCTTTACTTTGCCCTGTATGGACAAACGAAGGGTTGACTTTAACTTCATATCCCTTGATACTTAAGTAAACTTTTCCCATTGGCCAAGTTACTGTACATTTGCACTCGTGGGACAAGTGAGTTAACTAATCCAAACAATACCTTAGTAACTGGTCCCTTAGTGGAAAGTTTACTTACCAGTGAGAATGTGGTCACTTCAAATAATCAGACATGTATACAAGGGGATTAAAAATTGGAAATCCTGTTGCACATGATAATGGAAGTGATCACAGCATCGTTTCGCAAAGTGAGCATTGTACTCCTTTATTAAGTCAACCCCATTGTTTACTGCAATCTTTAATCAGAACCAGGAGTGAATATATACATGTTCTGCATATAGGATCTAGATACAAAGCAATGTATTATTTCTTAGATCTGTTGTTGTTTAATGTGTTAGCAATGATTCTCAAACTATAGTGAGCTGTAATACAAAGTCCGCACAACTGGCTACTTTCACACTGAGGAGTTTTTGAAGCATTTTTGCATAAAATGAGCGCCTAAAAAGCTCAAGAAAAATCCTTCCCTATGTATAAGAATGTATATATCTATGTATGTTTTCACACTGAGGCGTTGTGCTGGCGGTGCGGTGTAAAAACTCCTGCTTGCAGTATCTTTGGGGCATGTTTGGTGAGTTAAAAAAAACACCACAAAAACGCCTCTTTCAATTGAAATCAATGGAAAATGCCCAAAAAGCGCCTCAAAAACGTCTCTGAGAAGCGTTTTTGGTGCAGTTTTTATGTCCTTTACAAAATGTTCAGAAAGCGTATCAAAAGTGCGGTAAAAACACCTATGCATTTTTGCTGTGTTTTTGCGGTTGATCAGTGTGAAAGGTTTTCCACACCATTTTTTGCCATTTAAATGAACTTTATCTTTACAGGAAAATGATTAAAATAATTATTTGTAAACTTAGAGTTCTCTATAGAAATTTATTTCATAAAGACTTTGCTATGTAGTGTAATTCTTAAGAGATAGCGCCTCTTGTTATAGGATCACACAGGATGTTCGACACCTCTTCCTTTACGGCCCAAGAAGATACTCCCAGCTTCTCCCAACCGAATTATTCTCAGAAAGGTATTCCTACCAGTTCTGATGCTAGTTAAACTTCACACCAAGGGGGCTACGTATAAACGTACATTTGAGTTTCAGCAAACATTCTCTAGTGGAGAATCAATTGATGTCTTTCAAACTGCATTGGTTGAACTGGGTGGACTTTTGCCTTTTTTCAGCCAGACTAACTATGTAACACATGGACATGAAAGATTCACCTGCAGAGAATGTTTGTTGAATTTCAGAATCTCTGCTTTATAAGTATGTCCCTTAATATTATATTCGCAGTGGAAATCAGAGTATGAATCATGAAAAGGAAAGTTCCACCTTTTGTTCACTGTTCATGCTTTGTGGCTCGCATTAACTGCTTTTCTGACCTCTACTCAATGTCATAATTGGGACCTTTTCTTCCTTCCTATTCTAAAGAACTAACATAACCAAAGAAGACATTTTTTACTATACACTTTTTATTTACAGTTATATTTATAAAAATACATTATTTCATTTGTGGAAAGAGAGAAATAAAATGTATTTGTTCTCTCTTGGGTACAAGGATAGCAGAGTAGGGTTTAAAAAGCTTTAGGGGACCTGTATGTTTGAGTAAAGGAAACCTGCACTGTATAGCAGTTACATTGTTCTAAAGGGCTTTGTGTCACATTTTTGAACAGGGTTGGGAGCACATTAAAAATAAATGATCTGCCTAAATGCAAAATACACTAACTTTCAAAACTCTATGCGATAACCGGGGGCGGACTGACAACTCATGGTGCCCCTGGGCAGTAGGGGATCATGGGGCCCCTGTGTCCTCACCCACACTCAAACCACACCCAAAAAAACCTATGAAAGGTACTAGAGGCATCTCATGGGGCCCCCTACTGACCCTGGGACCTCGGGCGGTGCTCAAGTGCCCAAATGGTCAGTCTGCCCCTGGCGATAGCACATCTTAGCATCCCATAAAGATCTACAGTTGACCTCAGACTGAATTTTGACCATCTTTCACCAAATCTGAGACCCGTCGTTTTATTTTGGGTAAAGGATGGTGCTCTCAGCAAAGCAGGGTTACCAGTCACCAAAATATTTTTATTTGCAGAACTTGGAAATTTTACTGACAGGGCCATATTTTACAACAAATCCAAATGTCACAGAAAATAATATTCAAGTATAAAAAGCAAAATCCACTTGCACATTGTCCTCACCTGCTACTGTATTCAGTCATTATATAACCAGTTCTATTTTCACCCACATGAATGTGAAGTTTGGCTTGGGCCCAGAAAATCTAGTTCTGTCAGACTTGGTCAAATCTGTTAAAGATTGCTTCCTCTAAGTCCCATTTTACAGTGAAAAAAAACAACTTTAGACAGTAAGATTCTTCTTTTAACTCAGCTTGGTTCTAAGAATGGAAATGCACAGATCTATTGGACACTGAGCAATTTAGTGAATGTTTTCACTACTACCTGGATGTGGCCAATAGGAACATTTTATATCTTGGCTTAATAAGGTACTTAGCAGTCTAAAAAGAAGATAAAAAAAAAGGAATGTAATCTTCTTTGATCTTTAGTTTTTTTTCCCTTCATTTTATTGGCAATGTAAATTTCATTGCTGTTTGCTTTAGCAGCTTGGATTGAGGGTTGTATATTAGCAGAGTTACCACAACACACTCTAATGAGAGAACATAAGTGTGTTTTGGATTGCTGGCATTTATTATGAATAAGTAGAGATTAAGATATAATTAGGATCTGCAAAAGTCGATCAGAAAGTGGGAAGAATCCAGCTAGATTGCTTTACACATTAGTGCATCACAATATAAAACATGCAATAAGTGAGCTAAAGTGACATTAAAAGCCAATACAGTGAGTGCTTAGCTACAAATCAGAGGGGTAAACCTAAATGACAAAAGGGAGGCGGATCAATCTTGATCACAGATCTTTTTATTGTATGTAGGGGTGTAAATCCAATGCTCTTCAGAATGACAGTGTTGCCTTTATCAGGGCTGATTTGTTCAGAAGCTTTGTTTTTGAAGCAAATTAAAGTATAACTAAAGGCAAAACTTTTTCCTTCGTTCTTGACAGAGTGGAGATGGCTTAGAACACCCATTAGATTTTTTGTTGCTATCTCTGCCCCTCCCCCACTTGTTATGGAATGGAGATTCACCTTTTCTATTAGTCATATGTACCACTATCATTGAAAGTGAAAGTAAAAGAAAATCCTAAATATTAGGTTGTCCCTAGAAAAGTAATAGAGGGGAAATCTTCCAATGGGGACGTGTATGTGTGTGTGTGTGTGGGGTGGTCAAGGGATTCACTTAATTTTCAGGGATTTCCTCTCACTTCCTGTTTTGGCTATGAGACAGAAAGTGATGGTAATTCTCCCCAAAGGGACACATATGGCAAAAAAAAACTTTATAAGCCCCCCTTACTCTATCCAACATGAAAAAAAGTTTTGCCTATAGTTCCGCTTTAATTGTTTCCCATTCGCTCTATAGCAGAAATACTGCTACAGGGCGGCATGGGTGCACAAAATCACATATATATACACTACCCGCGCCACCATTCACGGCCGCAGCTGTCAATCACCAGCACCTGGTGATTTCCGCTGATCTCCGATGGAGGGAAGAACTGTTTTGTTTACTAACAGTTCTTCTCCCTGTCAGCTTAAGCACACTGCTTTGGATTGCTGTGCACAGCACAGCCATCCATAGCAGTGTGCTTACAGTGAAGCACACTGACAAGGCCCCCTATGTAAGACACGCCCAGCACACAGTTAACCCTTTGATTGCCCCTCATGTTAACCACTTTCTGCCCAGTGCCATTAGTACTGTGGCAATGCTTTTTTCAGCACCGATTACTGTATTGGTGTCACTGGGGATGTCAGTGACACCAAGTCAGTTCCCCCCAGTGTCAGAATATCCGCTGCAGTCCTGCAGTCCCGCTATAAGTTGCTGATCACGGCCATTACCAGTAAAAATAAAAACAAATTCCAGTATCTATACCGCCATTTCTAAACGCTAAAACTAAAATCATGCAAGCCAATTAATTTACACGTATTGGGATTTGATTTTTAGCAAAGACATGTATCAGAGTACATTTTGGCCTAAATTTATGATGAAATTTGATTTTTAAATTTTTTTACTGGATATGTTTAATAGCAAAAAGTAAAAAATATTGTTTTTTTTTATCAAAATTGGCAGTATTTTTTTTTTTTTTCATTTTATAGTGCAAAAAAAAATAAAAAAATGCACAGGCAATCAAATACCACCAAAAGAAAGCTCAATTCGTGGGAAAAAAAGACATAAATTTAATTTGGGTGCAGCATGACATCACACCCAAGGAGGGGGAGGGGGTAATTCCTCAGGACGGCAAGTGGTTAAAGCATATCTATACAAAAAAACAAAGATTTAATATATTGCACCTTTCCAATCCTAAATATGATGGCAGCATTAATTTTCATTTTTTTAGGCTTTTATTTCTTTGTTTTCACCTGGTTATCCAGCCAGTAATACACTTCCTGTCTTAAAGTGGCTTTGCTCTAAGTCATCCTTGGACAGCAGGTAACACTTTTTAAGCAGTTATAGCAACAGTTGTTTGTTTTTGGGATAAAGATTTTACATACATTAATAAAATCTAACCATTGCAAGCACCCCTGATAGCATTAAATGTTTTTTCTCGACCCTCTAACTGCCACTCCTGCTGGGTAGCTTGGTCTGTTGAAGTTGAAAAATAACAGACTTACTGACTGGATCATGAAGTGAAAAATAAAGAAAAAAAGCCTACAAAACCCCTAGGGCAACCATCTGATTGAGGGATTGGTAAACCCAACACAGACCAATTGTGTTGCAATAAATTACAATTTTTTTTTTGGGGGGGGGGGGGGGTTGATATTCTAATTCTAATATCCATCATTTATAAAAGTCCGTTTTTCTGAGTACCAGATTACACAATACTAAAGTCTGCTAAATTGGTTGCCAAGATAAATTTCTCCTTTGGAAAATGTCTTCTTTGGGCCAATCTACTCCCACTAATTACACTGTTAGTTAATATTCGTGTTTATTTTGTGTTCTTTGTGTACTGTTTTCTAATCTAACAAATTACCAAGGCTAGGAAATATAACAACATTTCCAAGTCTCCAAGAGCAGGCAAAGTGGTACCATACTACAAGTATACATGCTCCAAAAAAAATCAAACAATCATATTGACTTTATTAGCCATTACCTCTTATGTAGTCGGTTTTCTCAGTAATTTTTTTCTAGTCAGTTTTACTTCCCTTCTTTTAAATTTTGGTTAACTGTATGTTAATTAAACTGTATTTTTTCTAGCCACCAGCCAAGTTCCATCCTACCAATTTTCATCCACTGTGACAACCACAGAGACTAATAGTCAGCAAGAAAACAACCCCTACAACATGAATGGTAAATGTGTGATATTAAACTTTTTTTTTTTCTAATAACAAACATGTTATACTTACCTGCTCTGTGAAAGGTATAGCAGACCTGATCCTCCTCTTCTGGGGTCCCCGCTGGCACTCCTAGCTCCTCCCCACTTCCAAGTACCCCCTCAGCAAGCCGTTTTGGGTACTCGTGCAGGCTTGCTCCTGAGCTCCTTGCTGTGTCCTTTGACACAGAGATCAGGGCTTTGATCTGCTCCCTGTTCCCTCATCATATGATTTGATTGGCCAATGGCTCCTGCTGCTATCAATTTGCCCTGTGGGGAGGGAGAGAGCAGAGAGAGCCGCTGCTCTCATATACAGCAGTGGATTGAGAATGGGCTCAGGTAAGTATAAGGTTGGGCAGGAGAGGGATAATGGACACAGAAGGTTTTTTTATTTTAATGTAGAGAATGCATTAAGGTAAAAAGAAAAAACCTTAAAGCTTTAGAACCACTTTAAACCATAATATGTATATTGTCATTGTCATTGGGTCACATAAAATACATTCAATACATTTCACAATATGTGTTTGCATCTTCTCTTGTACAAGAGGGCCAGATTGTGTAGAAAGTGTTTAACTTACTACTATGCTGTTGATATTTAGATCATAATCAGACTATCCTGACCAATCCCTAAAGATTCAGGTAGAACATACAAGGGCTGTTATTACGTATATTGCTTTGACAAGAACTGAACCCTGGATCTCAGTATTGCCAAGTCACCCTTCTGCTCAATATATTAATTTCCCACTAAAGCATTTCCCATTAATTGCCCACATTGTCCATAACAAATACACTCAAAGGGGCAAATTGCTTCCCTGAGACGTTAATTTTATCCCAGACTGTATTTTCTTCAAACAGTAAGTAAGGTTTAGGGGGACTTTTATTTTCTCTAAAAGCTGTTTCATATTTGAAGAGACTAAGTTCAAAATGATTGTGTTTAACATACTGAACTTCCATTCTTGCAGTGGTCCAACTTCTAATTGGTAGCTGTGGATTATAGCATGTAGTGTTAGTGTAGAGACCAAGTAGAGGTCAGTATAACAGACTTATATAGGGCTGTACTGCAAGACTGGACATGTCTATTGGGGTGAGCTTAAGGTTTGGTCTGGACACATGTTTGGACCAAATATTGGCATTTGGGCAAACGCCCTAACATTTACTTATGCAGTGGGAGCTGAATGTTATGTAAAATAGTGGTAAAACTTCTGCTATTATGCATGGCAGCTTCTGTTAGAGGTTAAGGACAATGCAGGTGCAGGCATTGCTGAGTCCTTAACAACTAGTGGTGTCACCCGGCACCGTTCACTTAAATGGTTGGGAATCCCCAGCCACATAAGCAAAAGAGCTGGGGATAGTTAAAAGAAAAAATGGCACAGGAGTTCCCCTATAATTCATACCAAATCCTTTGGGTCTGATATGGATTTTAAAGGGGAACCCCACAAATTATTTGTTTTGGTACATGTCTCCCAGCATGAGGCTGTTGCCAGCCTGCCATGGCATTTGTTTGAAAATTGCTTGCCTGTTAGCCTAGAAAATGAACAAAACTGACTTTTAACATTCGGGTTCCTGTTGACTTGAGTGTGGTTCAGATTCTTCATCCAAACCTTGCTTGAGCTGAACCCAGGTGTGTTCTGCTCATTACTACTATAGAGAGAAGGAGAGAGAAAGAGCGCAGATAGCTTCCCTGTTAGCTCTGCATACAACAGATGTATTATCTCTTACTTTACTTAGAATAATATATTATGCCCAAAGAACAAATATGTTATTTTAAATCTTCCCTATGTTCCTACAGTGTACCCAATGATGACAAGGCACCAACCAGCAAAAGCTTTGCCACAAACATGGAAATCCCCAAAACAGAGTCTGCTGGTGAGTTTAGTGTACTTCATTAATGATCTGATCATCTGTTCTGTGGGGTGATCCCCAACCTCTTTCAGCTTGTGAACTATAGCATGTATAACTTGTGGGCTATGCTGTTTTTGTTATTGCTACTACTACTAATACTGTTAACCATCGATATCCAAAAATGTTTTGGCCAGATTGGTCATTGTTAGATATAATATAATATTATGCACTTTTATGTCTTGAGACATATACCTAAGTCTTGGACTCAGATATCAAGTGGTTGGGGTATAGATTATGGCCTTATGTTGTTGGTGTCTGTAAGTTTATGTTTTCAGATGCACCATAGCATAACCATTTCTATCATTGTCTGTGTGTACGAAAATGCATAGATATTATTGTGAAACACGCTATGCTGTATCTACTTCCACTGGTCACCACAATTGCCTCATTGTTTGCAAACAATGCTTTTGAAGCAATCAAATTGTGTAGGGTTTACAATGTATTTATAGCCCAAGTTTTTTATGCTTTACATAATTTAGGGATGTCATTTTTTCCTGCCACTCTCCTTTTATTTTCTGTGCCATTGGAGAGATTTCCCCTTACTTCCTGTCTTACAGAAACAACATGAAGTGAGAGAAAGTCTCCTAAAAGTGAGGGGAATTTCTCTCTTAAGCCGAGTATGCACACATAGATTATTGTTGTTCAGCATGCGGGCTAAAGAAAAATATTCAAACAGATTCCTCCATCCATGTTATACAGCACAGATGGAGGAATCTCCTGCTGTGGCTATTGTATTACAATAAATGGTATAGTAGGTGCCCAGCTTTAGACAACTGCCCCTGGAGTAGATGCCCCCAATGGAAGATTTGCTCTTATTTCTTGTAACTGTAACATTTTGCATTTCCCATCACTTTCTGTTTCCCGTCACTTTCCCGTCACTTTCCAATGATTTCACAGACAAATAGAGAGAGAGAATCTGAATCTTGTTATTTACGTTATTTCTATCCATAACTATAAAAAAAAAAATGGAAAAAAAAGCTTTGAATTCCAAGTACACACAGAGAGCACTCTCAGGTGGAGGAAATGCTTGATGCTGCTCAGATAAGTTCAAACATGTTGGAAAATCTCTGTGAATGTTTTGCGACTGCTTCCCTTCCTTACGAGTAAAAGGGACAAGCCTTCATAGAGCATGTACCACAACAGAAAATCCAAAACTGGAATAAAATTCAGTGCTAGCAATGTAGTAAGCAAAGCAAACAAGCCCAATCTGGTTTCTCACCCTTACTCTTAGCCTGTATGAGATCTGCCTGTGTATTCTAAACCTATGGATCAACGGGCATACATACATCCAATGCTATAACTAGACTTCTGTACTGAAATACAATTCCCCTATAGTCTGTCTATGTAGTCATGCTTTAGAAAGATGCCTTCAAGTTTTAATGAAATGCTTAATGTTACTTTATTCAAGAAACAATAAAACGTAACTAACATTTATGCTTGTTTCTCACAGGCTCAGCAACGCCCTTTCTATGTGAACAAGGGAAATACCACTAACACCGAATCCCCATGAATCCCTGGGACCAAGCTCTAAGATTATGTACCAAAGCTATAGATATGTGGGCAGAAAGAGGGTGGGGATCTGTGCTTAATTCCTTCACTGCTGTTGTAGTGAATGTGTTGTGACTGGATTTGGCTGGGAGGAAGAAAACTGGTTTTAGTCTAGCCAAGGGCAACAATTGCTAACTGGAATTCCAGGGTGGGTCCAGCAAGAATGAACCTTTATCTATGTTTCTCAAGTTAACCCTTTATTGATGTAGAAAGTATTATGCTATTACTGACTAAATGTTACTATTATAACAACGGAAGTCTAGAATACCAAGAAAAAGAGAATTGGAGGAAAACATTCATCAATAAATACATTTGAAAAGCTAATTTCATGTCTCAGCATTTTTTTTTTGGGTGTACTGTTTGGCAAAACATTGTTGTTATATACATTTAATGGCCTAAAGCATTTCTTTAAGGGGTCTATTTATCAATGTTCAAACCAAGATTCACATAAGATTCACACATTTTAAAATTGAATTAAAAAAATTGTGAAACTTGGGTAAAACGTTGATAAATAGGCTCCTAGGTCTTTCACTAGCACCAGTAAATTATTGGGCCAACTAAGCCACACAGACGGCATATTTTTGTCACACTATTTTTTTATTTCAAGAAAGATTTTATGTATTACCAGGAAATGGCTACAAAAAATATTTTGAAGATATCTTGTATACAGTATACTGATCATTGTCAAGATAAGACAAATATAAAGAAAATAAGTAAAGTAGGAGGAAATATTTTAACTCACAATATTTCATATCTTCCATTTAACAGAGCACTTTTTTTTTAATTGGGGGGTTGGAAGAATTAGAGTGTTCACTTAAAAAAAATGGAATTACAAAGAAAACTGGAATACCTACAAATTTTACTTTAATCCATGGTCCTACAGGTTTTCTAGTATTAAAGTGATTCTAAACCTCCTTTTTTTCTTTAATCTTGACCTCTGGAGGATTTACCCCCTTCCTGACCAGGCCATTTATTGCTATACCGCACTGCGTTACTTTAACTGTCAATTGCGCGGTCATGCAACACTGTACCCACGTGAAATGTAAATCTTTTTTTCGCACAAATAGAACTTACTTTTGGTGGTATTTGATTGCCACTGGGGTTTTTATTTTTTGCACTATAAACAAAAATACAAACAATTAAAAAAATACAAAACAATATTTTTTACTTTCTGCTATAAAAATATCCAAAAAAAAAATTTAAAAATCAAATTTCTTCATAAATTTAGGTCAAAATGTATTCTGCTATATATTTTTTTGGTAAAAAAATCCCAATTCCAATCCCAAGTGTATATTGATTGGTTTGCACTAAAGTTATAGCGTCTACAAACTATGGGATATATACAACCCCTGGCAAAAAGTATGGAATCACCACTTTCGGAAAATGTTCATTCAGATGTTTAATTGTGTAGAAAAAAAAACTAATCACAGACATGCCTCAAAACTATTTTCATGTAACATTCCAACCTTCTGGCTTTAAGAAACAGTTGAAAAAATAAAAAAGAAAGACAGCTGTAGTCAGTTGCAACTGTTTTTGCAGATCAAGCACATGAACAAAACGTGGAATCACTCAATTCTGCGGAAAATATTATGGAATCATGAAACAAAAAAAACACTACGGTACGCCACTTGTACTTTGTTGCACCACCTCTGGCTTTTATAACAGCTTGAATTCTCTGAGGCATGGATTTAACTATTGGCAAACAGTATTCTTCCTCAATCCAGCTCCAGCTTTCTCTTATTGCAGTTGCCAGATCAGCTTTGCAGGTTGGAGCCTTGTAATGGACCATTTTCTTTCATTTCCACCATAGATGTTCAATTGGATTGATGCAAAGTACATGGTAATTCCATAATATTTTCCTCAAAATTGAGTGATTCTATATTTTTTTTCCACTGCTTGATCTGCAAAAACAGTTTCAATTGACTACAGTTTTCTTTCTTTATGTTTTTAAGTCTTTCTTAAAGCCAGAAGGTTGGAATATTAAATGAAAATAGTTTTGAGGCATGTCTGAGGTTGTGTTTTTTTCTACACAATTAAACAATTGAATGAACATTTTCCAAGAGTGGTGATCCCATACTTTTTGCCAGGGGATGTACTGGAATTTTTATTTATTGTTATGGAGGCACTTGTGCGTACTCACTCCTGAGCTGGCTCTGTATCCCTTGACACACAGAGCACAGCTTGGCCCTGCCCCTGCTCTCTCATGACTGGCTGTGGTTGACAGCCATTGGCTCCCGCTGCTGCCTATCTATTCAATAAAGGGGCAAGAGAGAGACCGAGAGAGCTGCTGCACTTGTGCATACCGCTGGATTGAGATCTGGCTCAGATATTTTTGTAACCTCAACACATTGAATGCATTAGGGTTAAAAACCTTCTGCCTTTAGAATAACTTTAATACCTGACCCCACAAAGGTGCTCCTCTTCTTGGGTCACATCATCTCCCCACTAGCTTATGTCGTATACAATGCAGGATCAGTGGCCAGTGCTGGTCTTGCACTGTAAGTTATACTTCAAAGGGCTACAGTCAACATAGAAGTTATAGTTTCTGGAAATTTTAAGGATTTGATGAATGTACTGTAATAATAGACATTCAGTTTCCACAATTTATTTAGAGTTACCGTCATCTTTGAATATATTTTGTTAATTGTTTTGTAGTTTTGTGCATTTATATAATTATGGGTATAGAAGCCCCGCAGCCCCTCTTCATAAAAAAATAAAATCATTGTGCATTTTAGATAACACAAAGCAGCCTGCATACAGGATTATTAAAACAGAACCAAACCCACTGATTTAACCATTTCCTAACACAGTTACATTCAAGGCATGCCATGAACATTAACCTCCCTGGTGGTATTCCCGAGTGTAGCTCGGGGTAAGGTTTCAGTACCACAAGTGGTAACCCCGAGCTACACTCAGGAATACCTTGCAGCGCTGCTCCGGGATCTCTTCTTCACTTACCTTGTCCTGCGCTCCCACGATGCCCCTCCTGCAGTGTCCCCGGCAATGTCCTCCTGCCGAAGCCAGCATCTGTCTTCTGGGTTCCGTTCCCTGCGACATCAGGACGTATGGGGACGGAACGGCAGGGGAAATTTGAAAATGACAAAAAGTGACATTCACTAAATACACTAAAATCGCATAGTATAACATTACTGTATCAAACCATTTCACATACATTTTGTCCCAGTGCTTTGTCCTGTGCCTGCCTGCATTTTTACTATTCTTTCTGCCTGGAAACTGAGAAAAGTCCATGGTGTCCAAAAAGCGTCCCTTTAGGTCAAAAGCAGTTTTAAACCAGTTAGAGAACAGCGATAGTAAATCAGAACCACTTGCAGAATTGAGTGATAATGATTCGTGGGGAAATCATCAGACACTGAAAACAATTTTGCGACTAAGATCAGTGATGTGCAAACTTGGCGCTATATTTCAAATTTCAGTGTTTTTGGTTTGATTATATTATTTAATTAAATTTATTTATTATTATATTATTATTTTTTATGATTATTTATTAAATTATAATTTATGATTTCGTGTTTCAAATTTTAACATATGTTTACTAGACACTTGTTCGGACAGATTTCAGTGAGTTATTCCTAAAAATTACAAGTCTACAATAAAAAAAATACATATTTCCATGCAAAAAAATGTACCACTTTGAGCACAGAAATATGGACATAATCAGACCGCTAGGGAGGCTACAGCCATGAAATGGCTGGTGTCATAGCTGATCACATGTGCAGCACCATGGCAATTGCAAATCAAACAGAGGCTAAGATGATCACTTAATTGGCTGTAAAGGATTAGGGCGGGTTAGTTCCGCTTTAAAACTGTAATAGCTGCTGTTTTAGCTAACCTTAAAAACAAGTGCTGTTGGCGTATTTATTACAAAATGTAAGTTTTAATGTTCTGTAGGACTACTGGTTTGACAGGAGTTCTTTTTTTCAGCAACTCTTTAACAATGGCTGCTCTTTTCATACAGTAGTTATCTGGAACAGATTTTCTGCATGGTGCAGGTAAACAATTTCAGTAGAAACCTCTGTTTGTTTGAAAATTTCCCTGCTTGACCTGAGACAAATTCAATTCAGAAATAATACAGCTTTACTTAAGGCTTTTGCAAAACAAATCCACCTTCAAGCTTTTGCACAGCACCCTTTCATTTCCTCTGGTGCAGGCATTAAACTCCAATGTAAACTCTGCAGGTAGAACAAGCAGCACTTTCACATTTTTCTTCCAGTGTAATCTTCACAGCTAAGTGGATATTTTCTTCTGCTTTCTTGCCTCTAGGTGCTTTTTGAAATTCGAAAATTGGTTAAAGCTAATGCAAGACTTATCTCATGTGTCTTTGAAAGAAATCAGCTTTGTTATTTTGCCGTTCTATATTTTCTGTTTTCTTTGGCCGGTACAGTTGTAGCACCCTTCTAGTCAGGTGCTAGGATGTGTATGGTTGGGTTAAGCAGATCTGTGTTTCTCTGCTTACCAGAAAGATTTTCAGGTAAATCCAGTGTGGTATTCTGCTTAGCAGAGTGCTGTGATTGATGAGATAGGTCTGCTCTGGGGCTGTTGGAGTTTGTCTAAGTTCTACCTGCATTCAGGAAGCTATGAGAGCCTTCCAGAATATGGGTAGGGACTAGGCAACTGAAAAGCATAAATATGGATACAGTCCTGGCCAATTGCAGGGAAAGGTGGTCCCATTGCATGCTGGGAGTGGGTGCACATGGGTTCAGTGTCTTTCCCGGGAATGGATTGCACCAGCCAGGCTGGAGGCAGGCTGCCTCACCTGGCAACATGCTGCCATGTGGCCTCAGGTGGGTTTTCCTGAGGGCCTGAAGCTAGAAAGAGTGACCCTGGTTTGGCAGGAAGCTGACTGAGGGGGAGTTGTCTACCAAGGCTCTCTCTGGTATCACTGAAGGGTTTCACTTGGATAGATTGAAAGGAGGCAACCCTTCTATCCTTGGGCCTTGTGAG